TTTTATTCTAATTAACAAGCAAAAGATATTTAATAAACTTAACGTATATTTTTGGCAATTTGTATAATCCAACTTAGAAGTAAGTTTAATATAGTTAGCCCTAAATTTTAGCGTTTTTTTTTAAATTTTTAGCTTTATTACATTTTAAAATCATTGCTTTGATTGAAATTAAGTAATTAAACAAAGCATTGATGTCATTGCAATTTTTTTAAATAACATCAAAGTCTATGTGAATATTTATTTTCCCTAATCATAAACCGAAAATGTTTAAATTAAAATTGAAATAATTTATTTTTTATATTCATAAAACGAAATGTCAACATTTTAAATAAAGATAATTTAAATTATATTGATATTGAAATAAAATATATTGATATTAAAACAAAAATAACTTCTCCGGAATCACTTTTACGTACATTACTTTTAACATTTCTACTATACCAAAACATGTTATTTACATCAATTCTCTTTGACAAATCGTTCTAGGTTTTCATTAAAAACGACGCTTTCAGCATTTCAATCTGACGGTCATTAATATATTTTCCATTAAACTATGGCACAATATTTCAAAACTTGATTTTTGCGTTTAAACGATTCATTCTGGGTTTCTGTCGAATCAACTGCTTAGTTTATATTCCGAACGATTACTTTTATTTTTAGAATTTAACGTTGGAAAAAATGTACAATAATTCAACCTCTAACTACTCTTCTCTTGGAAGCTCATTTTTCTCATATGAACTGATGTGATGATTTGATTCGACAGTAAGTGTTCATCTGCTATTTTCCGACTCTAACAAGCGCCATCTATTACAAGATTTAGCCCCTAAGCTATAAAAAGATTGTATGCGATTGCTACATAAGACATGGAAAGAAAACTTGAAAAATACATTTTGAAAATTTCCTACAATATTCCAAAAATACAAAAAATTTAAATAAAATACACCATTTTTACGCGATAATAAAAATTAACTAAAGAACTTTATTTAGTTTAATTAATTTAAACTTTAAAAAAACATTTTACAACATTTATAAATGTACTTTCTTTTTAGCTTTACATTAAGTAAAAATAACTTTTTCTTCCATTATTTCAAGTTTGAGCATTTATGTACATGGATGGTTATTACATAATAACAACCATTTAAAGTATGTTCTAAATTTATTAATTTTGAGCTGAGGTAAACAGTAATGTACAATCACTAGTTCTTGTATTGTAATAGTAGTAAAATTCAAACATGCACACATTCTACACATTTTTTATATATCCTTTCAAACTGAATCATCTTTTCAACATAATGGACATAAATAGAAATCAAAAGTAATTTTTTAGACAAAGCATTATTTAGGAAAATTGTAATTGTGCATTTTGTTTCATGGCAAAATGTGAAGAAATACACTTTAAAAAAAATCCTGCAATACGCAAAAAATGCCAAAGATTAAAATATATTTATATGTGATAATTAAAAAAAAAATAAAAATATTATTAATTTTAATTAATTTGGTTTTTAAAAAAAAATATTTCGCATCATTTATTAGTTTACTTTCTTCTAAATTGTACATTTCTAATTAAAAATCATATTTTCCGCCCTTATTTAAAATTTGGATAAACGGCATATGCATAATAAACGACGTCACAATAGTTTAAAGTATAGTCTAAATTTAAGTATTTTGTTTTGAAACAAATAGTCATGTACAATCACTAGTACATGTATTTTATTTTATATTTTATAACCGTCGTTGAACAACCGACCCAATTTTTGGGTTTAAGACAACTAATGTTCAACTCCGTAGCACTGTAATTTTGAGCCCAATCCAGAAGACTAGAGAACTCTGGGTCAAGTGTTGGGAGAAAGTTGCCTTCGTGGAGTACTTTTTAATGGAAGTAACTCGCATTTGCATTGCATGACGAGGAGAGTCGCGAAGACATTCCGCCGTTAGCCTGATGGCTAGGGGACTCCAGACGTCATCACTGTGGTCGGAGCGAGTGCGGAATTCTTATTGACCAGCCATCGCAGGATCGAAACCGGGTCACTTCATTGGGAGGCGAAAGCTCTATCCCCTGACCCACCACAGTTCCTAGTTCTTACATTTTATTTTATAACCGTCGTTGAACAGCCGACCCAATTTCATGGGTTTACGACTACTTACGTTCAACTCCGTAGCCTTGTAATTTTGAACCAATCCAGAAGACAAGGAAACTCCTGGATCAGTACCCCCAGAGGTATTGATTTGTTGTGGGAACATGGAGGACTTTGAGACTCGACAGATTTAACGTGCAGTAGTCACCATTTACTACACGGGGAGTCTTCGGCCGGCGAGGATCGAACCCACGACCTCTTGGATATGGGCCCAGCGCCCTACTGACCAGGCTATCCCAGCCCTAGTTCTTATATTGTACTAATGTTCAAGAACACACATATTCTACACAACTTTAACATTTTATATGGATCTGAAAACTAAATCATCCTTTAAATATGACGCACATAAATATTAATCAGAAGTAATTATTTTTAAAACGAAACATTATTAGGATAAAAAAAGTAATTGTACTCACTTTTAGAGAAAAGTAAAAAAAATTAAGAATTTTATTTAACTGAAATCAAAGTTTTGTCATTGAAACTTACTCAACTATTTTGTTACATTTCTAACGTAATTTCTGATAACTTTCCATAAAAGTGCCACGTAGAAATTATTGCTCTCCAAACTAATTCTAATTAAATAATGTTTTAATTACTGAATTTCAATATATATTTATAATTTAAAACTGTTTCAGTTTGTGTTTTTAATTCCAACTTCTGTCAAATCTTATAAAAATTCATTATGAGTTATAGTTTACCAAAGTTCTTAGTCTACTAAAAACGAATATTTATGTTAATTACATTTTTTCTTTTCATTTCTCATTTTCTTTAATATGCAGGTCATATTTCCCATAATGCATAATAAAAAATAATCTAAATATTAAATGAAAAATTTTCTTTTTAATTTAATTAAATTTGTTTTTTTATTCATTTTAATCCAAAATCCATATTAAATTCCATATTAAATTCAGAACGTGTTGTATATTGAAATTTCTTCGTAAGTATTAACTTTTAAACTTTTATATTAATCAGCTGATATTCACCCGGCAAAGATTAAAAACTGGAAATAAGAAGATTTTAAATTTTCCTTTCACTTGACAAGAGTAAATTTTTTTACTATTAAAATATAGAAACTACTGTAACAAAAGATGCAATTTTTATATACCTTTTACTTATTAATAAATTGTGATGTATTAGGTGAGTATTAATTTTGTGATATATTTGGTGAGTGTATTTAGTAAGTATTATTGAAGGAAAGATTAAAATGAAATATTTTTACTAACAGTTTCTTATTTTTTCGGGATAAGTATCATCCCTGATTAATAAAGCAGCATTATAACAAAAAGCTGAAGGAAATTTAATTACTTTTGGCGTATAAATAAATTATGTGTTAAAAACAATATTCCTAAAAATTTCTAATAATTACAAATTATGTTACAAATCTATGCATTCATTATTGCATAGATATTAATTTTGAAATTTATTATGCAGTTATCTCGAAAAAACATACAAAATTATAGGGATTATACTATATCTTTATTGCCAAAGAGAGAACATATAACATTTAATGAGCATCATAAATTACAATTTAACTACCATGATAACGGATGATATTTGCAATAATTATGCAACATGCTCTATTTTATTTACATAATAATAAACATTTGCGAACTTTGTACACACATATTTGTTTTAATTATTCGAAAATAGTTTAAACACGAATTTTTCACGGAAGAATTTTTAAGAAGATCTTTGCAATAAAGTATGTATTTAATTACACAGCAGAAACTTCCGAATCAACTTACAGTATAAAATACTTAGAGTACATCATCCGTATTTTATTACATTATCATCCGTATTTAAAGTAATATTTATTAAATTATTAAGTGTTATATATTAAGTATTATTAATTATTAAATATTAATAATAAGTTAATTATTAAATATTTATATATTAAGTGATTCAGCGATTTTACTGTAATTATTACGGTAAAAATTAGGGTGCATCATATTTTTTTAGCGTAACATGTTGCGGTTAAAATGGATTTCATGATAAAAAATACGAGTATTAGAGCCGAAAATTTTTACCATAATTTATTTCGGAATTTTTTATAGTTTACTTGCTCTGGCTATGAAAAAAATAATGATCATGTAACAACCATAGAGCATTGTGCATCCTAACTAACCATAGAGCATTGTGCATCCTAATTTAGTTCGAATGTTCTTTCATTCTCCATCTGGATCTCCCATTTCATTCTTATTCTTAAAATAATGAAAGTAGGCTTACATATTATATATACATTTTATACAGGTCAATAAAAAAAGCATTAATATCGAAACCATCGTATAACCATCGAAAAGTATTAATAAAAACATAACATTTTTACTGCCTCATAATTTAATTGCAATTCTTCTAAATAATACCATCAATAATTATGTACTATAGTGTTTTATTACAACGAAAATCGCTAATAAAAGAGGTATATCGATGAATTTGATTAATTAAAGGTATTAAAAGATAAAAGGTATAAAGATAAATGTATATAGGGATTTGATTAATTTAATGTTTGATTAATTAAAGGTATATCGATGAATGTGAGACATATAATATTTGAATAGGTCTTCATATTTAAATATTAAATTTCTCTCAAAATTTTACCCATACAAACACTAAATAATTTTCAATATCTCAGCGATATCAAATTATCGACATCTTCATGTGATATACATCTTCTGTTGATATATGTATATCAATATCTTTTTATTCTCAATATGTAACTAATTTTGTAAAGGAGTTTCAAGCCCTCCAACATTAAGAATGAAATTGTACCCTCATAACTAAGAGTCCCCAAATAAATGTATAAAAATATAAATTTTAACACAAATTGTTACCCCTGCAAACACTAAATAATTTTCAATATCTCACCGGTATCCTGGAATAGGAAGTAAGCCACACATATCCATCCGTTTTCTGTGTCGGCTGCGGTTGTGGGAAAAATTCCACACTTGGTTCATCCCGCTCTTCATTGTAAAATCTCTTTTCTCTTTTAAGGATGCTGAGTTGATGCTCTTGAGCTTCCTCTGCGGGAATCACTGATACCCAAAGTCTGGCAGTGAGGTAGAAATCAAGTCCAAGGCCTAAGTAAAGAAATGCAAGGAGACCGTACACAAGTCGAAGTCTCTCGTTGGCCGCGTTGGCCATGACTGAGAATTTGAGTTGGGGGTGGTGGTCGCGTGGCCTCAACTTCCAGCCAATGGACTGCCGAGGCGCCTCCACTCGGAATTTGGGGGAGATCAGCATCTTCTTTTAGAATCCCGATGCAATTCTGAGAATGTCAGATTCGAAGTTAGTACAGAGGAGATGAGGTCACTATTTGATTGGCATTTTGTTAATCCTCGAGTGGCAAAGCTTTTCTATTAACATTCTATTTCTACAAATGCTCAACTAATTATTCTAAAAACGCTTATATTTTTATACTATTGAGTTTAAAGATTGTAGACATAATTTTTGACTTACAGTACCTGGCCAAATTATTCGACGCACTATAAGATTCTATGTAAAATCTTAATTATCAGGTGATACTATACAGCTTTTTTGCTTTTACGCAGCAGAAACCGGTTTGCACTTGCTTACGTTCCTGTATCCCTTGGACAAATTAGACGATATATAAATTCGACGATATATTATATAAACATAGAATGTTTATTTTATCATTATATTATAATAATTAGACCAAATTATTAGACACACTGTAGTTTTTTTTAATGATAGCATGTTTTGCACGAGTTCATATGCAATACTTTTGTATTTAGACATACATGTAATGGGTTTTTATTCAGGGGATTTTTTATATGCTTCCTATTTGTATTTATTTTTAACTTATTGCATTACAATGTTAACCAATTGATACACGAACGTAAATAAATGCAAACCGGTTTCAGCTGCGTAAAAACAATAATGCCGTATAGTATCACCTGATAATTAAGATTTTACATCGATACTTATAGTACGTCTAATAATTTTCCCAGGGACTGTATGTATAGGTATATTTACATAATCGTTATTATATTTACTAATACGTCAACAATTTCCGCCGAAAAAAAATTTTTTTTAACAGTTTACCATCCGAATATGTGCTAGTAACCATATTTTTATTATTAAAAAAATATTATTGCTCGTAGTAAATAACGGAGTACGTGAGCTCCGTGTAAATACAGAGCTATTCTATATTTTATTTTTGAGATGTAATGATATTTCTATAAAGAGTATAAATTTAATTATTAGCGCATTTAATAATGATCAGTTTTTTAAAATATATTTAAGAAAATATTTATCGAAAAATGAATTGGTATCCATAATAGTCTTCACTTCCTTTTACAAAAGTTAAACATTAGAAGACATTGCTGAAAAATGAATGCTTTTAGTGAATAAAAAAATATGTTGCGTAAAAAGAAATAGAATTATTTTTTATCCTTATGGGTGGGAAGCGAAAAATCAAATTGAATTTGAAAGCTATGATAGTAAAACTGTAACTCATAAAATACATACGAAGTCTATAGAATTACGTAAACACGTATCAAATGAAATTATCGTTTAGCGTAATCTATTAAAAGAGCAGCAACCATAAAAAAAAATAATAACGAATTATTTAGAATCTTATATTAAAAGAGATGCATCAACTGTAACCAAATCAAGTTTTATTTATAACTAAAATGGCTTATTTCTAAACAATTAGTATTGAAATGTTATGTAACAAATTAACACGGTATAAAAGGAAAAGTAATACTTCATATTCAAATTTATTTTATAATATTCCTCAAACAACCAAGCAAGAAACTTTCATCTCCATGTTCTTAAAACTTTGAAACTGATTTAAAAAAGAGGCAACTTTCTGTTAAAACATTACATAGTATTGCCTTGTTAATGTCTTCCTTTTAGGTGAACTTACTCTTATATACACTGCGTTGAGAGTAAAAATTCGATGTTTGAGAGTAAAATGTTGCCGATGAATGGTCAAAAAGGAAAATTTTACATGTATACTAGAAATGATATGTGAACCTGTCCTTTATAAGCAGATATTCATTCGTCAAACGAAGAATTCGAAGAACAGATATTTCAAAATATGGAGGAATATCACAAAGAAAGAATAAAAACATTACATCAGAGTCGATACGGAAATCTAACCCAATACCTCAATCCTTCAAAGTTTTTGGCGGAGTTACGTTGTTTTTCCTCAACAGTGGTCCCGAATTTCGAATTCAAAGTTAAATGCGTGATGGAAGTATGCAATTAACTTGCAAGTGATAAGGTCTTTTATTGGTTATAATGCACGAATCTGCAATATATTTTGAATTTCAATCAATATTGGTGACAAAGATAGAGTTAAGGCAAATATGTTATCTTGGGCCGGGATAGCCTGGTTGGTAGGGCACTGGGCCCATGTCCAAGAGTTCGAGGGTTCGATCCCCGCAGGCCGAAGAGTCACCGTGTAGTAAATGATGACCGATGCACGTTAAATCTTTCTAGTAGCAAAGTCCTCCATGTTCCCATAACAAATCAATTCCTCTGGGGGTACTGATCCAGGGGTTTCCTTGTCTTCTAGATTGGTTCTAAATTACAGGGCTACGGAATTGAACATTTGTAGTCGTAAACCCAAAATTGCGTCGGCTGTTCAACGACGGATATAAAATATGTTATCTTAAGCCGTGATGGCTCAGGGGATAGAGCGATCGCCTTCCAATGAGGTGAACCGGGTTCGAATTCAGTGATGGCTGGTCGATATGAATCCGCACCCGGCTTGCACCGACCAAAGTGCTGAAGTGAAATATCCTCAGTGGTAGACGGATCACGGGTTAGAGTCCCTTCCCCGTCAGACTAACCGTGGGAGGTTCTCGTGGTCTTCCTCTCCATGTAACGCAAATGCGGGTTAGTTCCATCAAAAATCCTCCACGAAAGCAAATTTCTCCCAATACTTGATCTAGGAGTTCCCTTGTCTTCTGGATTGGATTCAAAACTACAAGGCTACGAAGTTGAACATTAGTAAACGTAAACCCAAAATTTGGGTCGGCTGCTCAACGACGGTTATAAAAAAAATATATGTTATCTTTTTTTGGTCCTTAAATTCTGATTAGGAAGTGAAAGAGCATGAAGGAGTGTTGGCAGCATTCCGCTAAACGCTCTGGTAGAAGGTTGGAGTCCCGCCGTAACTCTGAATGTATCTTTGGGCTGTCCTCTAAATTGTGCTTTCTGTTACTGAATAATATGAAATAGCCGCCTCCCGTTGTCAGGCACCACCATGACTCGCTCATTTACGGCCACTAACTGAAAGATATGTATCGTAACTAAGAAAAAAAGGCCTCACTAAAATTTCATATAAAGAATCTTTTGTAACTCATAATATTGAGCCAATTCCTCAAAAATTACAAAAGATTTAATAACAGTGGTAGAAATAAAAGTCTTAGCCTTACCAAAGCAAGCGTGACCAGAGCCTGAATTCATGTTCATTTATTTATCCAGAAGCACACGCGGGATTCCGTATTCAATACTAAACACTGGTTTCATTTGTCAAGTAGAAGAACAGGTAGCACAAAAAAGAGAGGGACAACACAAAGGTATATCCAAGGTTTCTGTGGGATTCGAACTCACTACCCTCCGCGCTTGAAAGTATTTGGAAGGAAAAAATCTCTCCTCCATGAAAACCCTTTATTAAAAACAATTATTTGTTTTGTTTGTTTATTTATTTCTTTACTTATTTATAGAAAAACTCGAGTGAAAAAAGTTAGTAAACTATAACATTCATTAAATTGGTTCCAAACCCAAGTACGGAGAGAACTTACTTTCTTCTGTAGGTTAAATTTGTAAATGACAACAGTATGACTTTCTCTAGCTATAAAAATCTATTTTATTCTCTCACAATTGTTATCTACATGATTCACAAATCTACATCGATCTATCTTCGTAAATCTAAATCAAACTGTCTTCACAAATCTAAATTTGCTGTGATGGTTACAAAATATGCAATTTTACTGCAATTTCTGTCCATCCTATTTGACTTTAAAAATATCTAATATCTAAGAATATAGAATATATAGAACAAAAATAGAATGTATAAAAAATACAGAAAAACATTAAGAAAAGTTTATTTGTAATGTGCATGAAATTTTGTAGTTATTACTTAGCGTTTTTTAATGTTTTATCTTGTGGGAACTAAAAAAATTAAAAGAATATAATGATGAGTACCGAAGTTCTTAATGAAATTCTAGAATTTACGTGACTATCTTGGGTATAAGAACCAAATATATGGAGCCGTTAATTGAAATTTACGTCTACGACTCTGGAATTTCCTGAGCCCTCAATTCCGATTCACGCACAATTGATATTTTCACCAAATTCAAGGAAAGTATTAATATTAATATTGAGTAATTATTGATTTCAAATTATGTAATTATATTTTTGTACGATTAAAATAAGAAACACTTTATTTTAAATTGCAATGTAATACAGCATGAAAAATATTTATATTAAAATATATATATATAT